GGGATTCTGCATTTCTTTATTTTTATTATTATTATTATTATTATCATCTTTATTTTTTTTAAAGAATTATTTTATTCACTCATTCATTCATTTTAATTTGACCAGGGAGACACAGAGAGAGAGAGAGGAAAGTGAGAAAGCAAGCCACCAGGTCCAGGACTTGAACCATAATCAGCCATGTGGGAGTGTCCAGCCCGTTAACCACCATGCCACTTGCTGGTCCCATTTATTTATTTATTTATTTTTAATGACCAGAGGATGTGTGTGCTAGCCCAAGAGACAGAGAGAAAGGTGAGAAAGAGAGAGAGAGAGAGTGTTTCCCCAGTGGGGCATGGGCATACTGCAATCCCTTCTCTTCCCTTTCTCCATTATGTTAGCATTTGGGGCAAGCACATTACATGCAGTGTGTTTTTCAGGCCACCTGTGCTGGTATTCAAACCATAGTTGGCCATGTGGGATTCAGTTCCTTTAACCATTAGGACACAGGACAACCTAAGATTCTGTATTTTTTTTTTTTGAGAGAGAGAGATTTTTGCTGTAGGGCATGTGTATTCTCTGGAGAGACAGAGAGAAAGCAAGAAATCACCCCCCAGAATAGATGACCACACTGCAATCCCTTCTCTTCCATTCTCCTCTTGGGAATTGGGGCACACATGCACATGTGCCCTGCATGAGTATCAAATCACTGGGTCCGGGACTTGAACTGTGGTCAACCATGGGGGACTCTAACAATGTAACCATTATGCCATGTGCTGGTCCCTAAGATTCTGTATTTCTAACAAGCTCTTAAGTGATAACCGTCCTGTTGATTGGTAGATCACACTGAGTAGTAATAAGGTAGAGGTTCTGACTAATTTGTTTTACATTTTAACATTAAATTAATTAACCATGGTTGCCCTTTGTAGTTCAGTAGTAGGAATTGTGACTCTAACTTTGCCATTATAGAGGAAATTGCTGACACTCAAGCTAGTGATACTTGGAAAAAGTTTTGTTGTGGATTGATGATCATGAAAATATTCATATCTTTATTTAGAATTCACATCCACTTATTGATGTGAATTCTAAATAAATAACCCAGAAGATGAAAATTTTGTATTGGTGATGCTGTCCTATTACAGCCCTATGTATACTAAAAAAAATTGAAACTGCTTCTAATAAAAAGGAAACAATTATGTACGTTATGATAAATTCATTCAAGGTAATTTTATAGACATATGTTTATCTTATCTTTTCACACAAAAGTAACATGTCACTAGATGAATAAAAGTGGTAGGAGTTGGGACCAGCAGTTAGCATAATGGCTATGTCACTAGACTCCCATGTAGTCGACCACAGTTTGCGTCCTGAACCCAGTGGCTTAAAACTCACGCCGGGCACATGTGCATGTGTGCCCAAGATCCCGAGAGGAGAATGGAGGAGAAGGGATTGCGGCGTGGCCATCCCCCCTGAGGGGTGATTTCTCGCTTTCTGTCTCTCTGTCTCTCTCTGTCTGTCTGGCAAGCGCACGCGCCCTATAGCAAAAAAACTAAAACAAAAAACAAAAAAACTTCTCCAAAAATAAAAAATGGTAGGAGTTCACAGGATCAATAAATTAACAGATGAATAAACTTTTCCAAGGTAGAAAGTCTATGGAATTGAGGAATATAATCACAGGCCCCCGTTTCTCTGTGTGTAATGTTTTAATTTTTTGTTTGGCAGTGATTACAAGAATGATTTCTTATGATTTTTACACCTTTCTATATGCCTGAAATATTCAAAATTTAATAAAAAAAGAAAGTAGTTGGGGTCAGAGTGAAGAACATTAAACCTATATATTGAAAGCAGAAGTATTTTAATAAAGTAAGTCAGTCAGTCCAACAGACCTTGGCCTTAGCTCTTAAAAGCAAGAATGAGGCATGATGGATCTAGTCTATCTCTAGATGCTTTGGACCCTACATCTCCTACCCATTAAGAAACCATCTCTCTCTACTTCCCACCACCACAGGAGATGGGCAGCTTATTTTCCAGACCAGTTGAGCCAGCACTCAGGCACATCATCATGGGCCAGCTGAAAACAGAATTAATGGTTGCTGTGCATACTGAACTGTGGAATCTTGGTCCTTCTGTCCTGTTCTCAGGCTTCCAGGAACCAGACATATATACCTATAAGCAAGAGACTATCAAGCTACAATGCAGAGGCCAAATCTAGTCTCTGTCTTTGCAAATAAAGTTTTATTGGAACACAATCACACTTGTTCACTTATAAATCATCCATGGCTGCTTTCATGCTATAAGAGTAGAGCTAAGAAGTTGCAACAGACAGCATCAGACCCAGAAGCCTAAAATATTTACTACTCAGGCCTTACAGAAATTGTTTGCTGATCCCTCCTCTAGAGGAAAATAGATGTGCCCCTAGGCAAGACTCTAGATGTTTCATTTGAACTGCCCCATCAACAGTGAGGAAGCCCATCTTTTTGACAAGCTCTGTCTACACACACACTGAGCCTCCAAGCAAGTTTTAGCACCTCACTTTTAAGCACAAATAAATGTCCAAAGATTTTCCAAACACTCATGGAACACCTTAGTGTGAAAGAGTATGACAAAAATTAAAATAAATTTTTAATTAAAAAAAAAAACAGGAAAAAGGAACTTGAAGGAACCAAAAACAGTTTAACAAACAGAAAAAGTTTACAATAAAAAAATTTTTACAATAAAAATGTAGAATTAATATTCTGAGCTATGCCAAGATAGTTCATTTATAAAATAAGAGCTATGATAAACAAGAATGAACTTAGAAATGTAAGAAAATCATGGCCCCACAGTGTAGTGGTTAAAGGAGCCAAGTCATTTATGTCAACCATGCAATTTGAATTCTTGATTTGGCAGCTTGAGAAATATGACAAGCACATGGGCTTGCATGCCCCAAGTCCTGACAGAATGGAGAAACAAAGAAGGGATTGCAGTAGATCCATTCTCCATCGGGAGTGCTTTCTCCCTCTTCCTCTCTCTGTCTCTCTGTCTTACGTGCAAGTGCTCATGTCCTCTAGCAAATTAAAATAATAATACAAATAAATAAATAAACAAGAAAATTTTAAAATAAAATTTTAAAAATTTTTAAAAATTAAAAATTAAAAAATTAATTAAAAAATTAATAAATAGGAAGCCAAACAGAAAGAGGAAGAGAAAGAAAATAGAGAGGAAGCCCTGCCTTTGTGGCACAGTTGCTAGCATGGCTACTGCAGAGCTGGAAGCTACATGCCAACTATGGTTCGCATCCCTGGCTTGGCTGACCTGAAAACACACCAGGTGCATGTGCATGTACCCAGGATCCTGGCAGGCTAACTAGCGGATGGAGATTGTGGCATAACCACGCCCTGTGGAAGATGTGTGTGTGCATCTCTATCTCGTGCACATATTCTATCATGGGTCTTTTTTTTTCCTTTTAAAAAAGAAAGTAAAATTAGGTTTATAATGGAAGAAGTCCAATATTTGGCTAAAAAAATTATAGAAGGCGAGAACATAGAAATGAAAGAGTGAGAAATTAACAAAGAAATAATATAAAATTTCTGAGAAATTTAAAAAAATCTCTTCTACATTGCACTCAGTATAGTGAATAGACAATTAGCAAAGACCATAATAAAATTTCAGAGCACTCTAGCAATAAAGGTTCTAAGTTGATAGAGAAAAAATTAAAAAAAAAAAAAAAACGAGAAAAAAAATGAATCCAGACTTCTCAAAAGTAACACCATTGGGATGCATTACTATTGATGGGAGGGAAAAATGGAGCAATAGCTTCAAAATTCTGGAGGAAAATTATTTTTAACGTAGTAATTTATGTTTAGCACTGTCAATCAAGTATGTAATAAAATGACAGTTTTAGACATGCAAGGACTGGAATTATTTAGCTCCCATGAATCTTTTGTTAGGAAACTTCTAAAGCATGTGTTTCAGCACAACAAGGGACAAAAATCAAGAGACAGACATGGAATCCAGGAAACCAGGGCTCCAACACAGAAATAAAGAACATCCCAAGACCATAATTTCATATCAAGTCCTTAAAACAAACAATTCAGATTGAAACAGGAGGACTAGAAGATGGGGGCAGAACTGATCGATTATTTTATGTGTTTAAGACGTGGGGAAATTATTTCTAGACATTTTACCCGTGTGTTAAAAAACTTGAGAAAGTTGTATGCCACTTAGTTGAGCAACAAACAATTTATATCTAGTTTAGCAATGACTTAATTAATTGGCTATTAATTTAACAAAATCCATTTTACAAATCTCTTTGGAGAATCGCTGGAGGAAAGTGAGCAGGGCAAAGCTAGGGACTGGCGAGTAAAAAGTCAAATCCTGGTCCGGCCTGATGGTGTTCTGCAAAGCACTGGACTGCAGCGTTGAAAGCCACGTGGCTGACAGCGGGGTTGAAACCCAAGTTGGCCTGAAAACATACCAATGCAGATGTGTATGTGAGCCCCAAATCCTGATAGGATGGAGTAATCATGCCCCATTGGGGAAGGTTCTCTCTCTCTCTCTCTCTCTCTCTCTCTCTCTCTCTCTCTCTAATGAAAAAATATATAGATATAACGTCTTCATAATGAGAAAGTTCTCCAGTTAGGAATGCTGACTGGCAGCTTGGTGGAACTGTAATGTCTTCTATGTGCTCCAGATTCCTTGAGGTCCATAGTTGTGGAAGGAGATTGATTCACAGACAGATTTGGACCACACTATCAGTAAGGTCAGCCTAGCAGGAAGAGATGCACCAAGGCCTGGGTGGAGTTATGTGGGGGAAAAAGGCATACCACGTACATGTATGTGATGACCGCAACAACACCTAAGCAATGTGTTCATCACAAGAAGGAGACAAGAATAAATGAAAGCAGCTGTGTCAGAAGTGGGAGTGAAAATTATTTCTGTCTCTTTCATTTAGAATTAGAGGAAGATGCTATCATGTTTGTGCAAAGCAGAATAACAGTCTTCATCGGCAATCAGTGATGTTCTTTGCTGTTTCCTTCCTGCAGCTTAATCGCTTATACGGAACAGTATGTGGAATACGACCCTCTTATAACGCCCGCTGAGCCATCCAACCCTTGGATCAGTGACGACATTGCATTGTGGGACATAGAGATGAGGTAAACAAAGTTTTAAAGTTTGGGAGTGGGTGGGATATAGGGGGAAAAAATCATCAGATTACCTTTCCCCTATCTTAATTTGACTCCTTTTGTAACTAGAACTAAACCCTTCAAGTAACCTCCTGAGTTCTACTTAATCACAGCGTCTACCTTTTAATTCTCTGAGTTGTGGTTTCCCTCTGACTTCCCTTTGACACTCTGGATGTCATGAAAATGGATGATCCCTCACCACCTCCTAGCTCCGATTAGAGGAATCTGTTGGCCCAATGTGTTTTTTCATCCTGAAGAGCAGCAACAATAGTAACAGCTAGCACATACATTGACTGGCAGTATCACACGGAGTCTTCCACTAAATCACCTTCACAGGTACACATTACTGTTCTCACCATTGAACAGATGAGGAAACTGAGGCACAGAGGAGTTGATGAACTTGCCCAAAGTCACACAGCTAGGACAATGGCAGAGTCAGGGTGGGAACCCAGAAGAAGAACTCCAACACTAGGATTTTCATTGCTCTGCTCTTCTGGAATAGCCAGTAACAGTAATTCCACCCAGTAACTTCTTTTCTGTGAGGGAAATTGGATGTTTGCTAGACAGCTGAGAAACTGAAGCCCAGAGGGACTTGGACCATTTCCAAAACCACAGAAGGAAACGCACAGACCAACTTGGTGTGCTGTGCCTTCACACCCTCTGCCCCAGCTGACTCGTTCTTAGCTTCATTTTCCATTTCTCTATAACTCTCATGTTAGTTTTCACTCTTGATCTTTTTCTAGCTTTTCCCCCTCTGAAATAGAAAAACCTTATAAAAAGTAATAAAAGTCATAGATGCTTATTATAAAAAGCTCAACTATCCAGGTATACTTAAAGGAGAAAATTCACTCTTTTCCTAACCCAATCTCATCTTCTAAGAAGAACTTTTGGTTATAGACTGATGCTAAACTGCCCCCTTGGGTGCTGCAGGGAACTCTCAGGGTGCCCACAGGATATTCTCAACGTGTGAAGGAAACTCAGCGACGTTTGGCATGTATCAAATCCCTCATAAACTACTGGCTTAAGGGAGTTCAGATTCAGCATTAGAGCACATTAATTACATCCCGTTCGATGATGTCACATCTTTGCAAATCTGTGTTTTCAGGGCAGTTGCTGTGATAAAAAAGCAAGAATCAACACAGAGTAGGAAATGGAGGTGTTAACATCCAGTATGATTCCAAATATTGAGAAAATATGCAATTCCCAACAGGTGCACATTGTGGTAATTTAAGAATGAAATAAAAATATTATTTTTTCTTTCAAGTGTATTTCAAACACCTAAGTTTTTAGAACACAAATACATACAAGGTTGATTTACTCTGACTTTCAACAATGAAATTATTGGGCCAGCCCAAGGCTTGGTGGTTAAGGGAGCTGGATCCCACATGGCCAACTGCACAGTGTGAGTCTGGACCTGGCAGCCTGAAAAATCATGCTGGGTGCGTGTGCATGCATGCCCCAGATCCCAAAAGGAGGGAGAAGCAGAGAAGAGAATGTGGCATGGCCATTTCCGTGGGGAGTGCTTTCTCCTCTCCCTCTCTTCTATCTCTCTGTCTCTCTCTGACACAGTATTTTTTTAAAATGATACTTTTAGCTAATTCTTTTGATCTGGGGCATCATGAAAGCTTACTGAGACACTATGAGTGCGGTAACTTCATGAAGTTAGGGAACCTCTAATTCAGAGTTGTTCCCTTTGGCTTTCCACACACACATACACATACATAAGGGATTTTATATGTGCATGTACATATATGTACATATACATACAGTATATATACACATTGGATAATGGATTTTTGCATAATCAGGTTTATTATATATACGTTGTCTGATTTTTTTTCTAGTTTTTGCTATAAGGCTCATGTGCTCGCCAGAGAGAGAGAGAGAGAAAGTGATAAATCACCACCCAAGCAGATGGCCATGTTATAATCCTGTCTCCTCCTAGAATTTTGGACATGCAGACACACATGCCTGGTGTGATTTTCAAACCACCTAGTTCAATACTCAAACCGCACAGTCAGTCATGTAAGATCCAGCACCTTAACCTCCACACCATCTGCTGGTCCTGTCCAATCATTTTTTTTTTTTCAATTAACAGTATACAAGGCCTTCCAAAAGTTCATAAAAATGCACATTATAAAAACTATGCATGGGTTTCAAATTTTTTGTAATCAAAATAAACTCATACTTTAACTCGCTTTTTCCACAAACTTTTTGAAGTCCCCTTGTATTGTGACAACCTTTCTATATAAACATATAGATCCATCTTATCGTTTTTGTTTAAAGAAGAGAGAGGAAGAGGGAGAGAGGGAGCTAGAGAAATAGATCTTCTTGATATAGTCTCCTGTCACAGTCACTTTCCCGGCCTCCCAGCCAGCAGGACCACGGGCATTCACCACCTCACCTGACCTGCCTAGACTGGTCTGAGATAAGAGCCTGGGCCTGCCATGTGTCCCCAGCATCGCACAGCAGCACCCTACTGCCTGTGCCGTAACAGCTGGGCCACACCTGATCCCGTTTTGAGTATCTATGTAGTGTCACCTGAAAGAAGTAAAATTTATTTAACCAATACCCAGGTCATAAAATTTAGGGGTTTTTAGAGACCAGCACATGGTGTAATGGCCACCTCGCTGGACTCCCATGTAGCCGACCGTGGTTCAAGTCCCAGACCCAGTGGTGTGGCCATCCCCCCGGGGGCTGATTTCTCGCTTACTCTCTCTCTGTCTCTTTCTGGCCAGTGCATGTGCCCTATAGCAAAAATTTCTCAAAAAAAAATTAGGAGTTTTTAAAATCTTTTTTTTAATTTTATTTTGCTCATGGAAATAATGATTTAAGGAATACCCATGTACATAGTTTAATTCTTTTAATTTTTTTTTTTTTGGAGTTTTTGTGTTCCACTTGTTAGTTCGTTATTGCTTTGCTAACAGAAATACCTTAGACTGGGTGATTTATAAAGAAAAAGAGGTTTAGGGCCAGCAGATGGTATGGTGGTTAAAGGCACTGGACTCCCACATGGCTGACCCCAGTTTGAGTCCCAGACCTGGCAACTTGCTTTCATATTTTCCCTCTCTCTCTCTCTCTCTGGTCAAGTTGAAAAATAATAATGGTGATGAATGAAGTTAAATTAAAATAGTAATAGTAATAATAATAATAGTTCTTAAAAAAAAAAGAAATAGAGGTTTATGAACTTATGATTCTGGCAGCTGGCAAGTCTAAAGGCATCACAAGTTACCGAAGGTAGACTCCCGAGCAAAGCAGAGTGTGGTCTATATCCTTGTGGCCTGCACCTACCGTATTTCCTTTCCTTATAAACCTATCTGGACTCAATTATGAGGGCTCTGCCCTGAGAACCTTATCACACCTAAAGGCCCCACCCTGGAGCACCATGAAGGGGTTAAGTTTTCATAACACCTTTACAATACAGCCAAGTCCCAACACATGAACCTCTGGGGGAAACCATAATATTCTATGAGTGAGAGAGACAAGGAGAAAGATGGAGACAGAGACGGAGATATACCACCTGCAATGGGGTGTTAGCACCGCAATCCACCATCAGCTTCAGCCAGCTCAGATTGTGGGCATAACCCATGCATAGCATACTCGGAAGTCCCTGAACACAAGCCAGAAAGCTTTCCATGTGAGTTAGCCTTGCAGAGACTTGACCACTGTGCTACCAAGCAGTCCCCCAATTTTTTCTTTCTTGCTTTCTTCCTTCCTTTTTTAGATTTTTGCCATAGGGCACATGTACTCACCAGATAGAGACAGAAAGAGAGAAAGTGAGAAATCACACCCTAGGCGGATGACCATGCCATAGTCTCTTCTCCATTCCCTCTTGAGATTTTGGGCATGTACCTATAAGTGCCCAGCATGCTTTTCAAGCTACCAAGTCCAGGACCATGTTTAGCCATGTGGAAGTACAACACCTTAATCACCATGCCACCTGCTGACTCCTTTCTTTTTTTTAATTTGCCAAAGGATTCATGAAGTCACCAGAGAGAAAGAGAGTCAGAGAGATAGAAAGATAAAGAGAGGGGGAGAGGGAGAAAGCACCCTCCCTATGGAATAAAATCCCTCCATTTCTCCATCCTGTTGGGATTTGGGACTATCCCTTCTCTTCCATCTCTCCATCCTGTTTGAATTTGGAGCACATGCGCACATGCACACACACACACACACACACACACACACACACACACGCCCTAGTGTTTCTCAAACTACCAGGTCTGGGACTCAGGTGGTCCAGTCAGCCATGTGGATCCAGCTCCCTTAGCCACCAGGCCATGGGCTGCCTCTCAATTATTTCTTTAGTATGAATTTTCCTAGAACATCTAGGAATGGTGTGCACATTTTAATTTTAGTTCATGTTCACAGATTCCTCTTTGGCAAAACTAAAAAAAAAAAAATCATATGCTTTCAACTTAAAATTATCCATTTAATAGTAATCAAAGTTTACAAATCTGATCGGTTAAAAGACATATCTCATTTTACTTTTTCTTTGTTAATGTTCTTGAGAATCTTTTCACATGATTATTATATATTCACTCTTCTTTTGTGAGTTTCCTGGTTTTTTTTTTTTTTTTTTTTTGTATTTTGTCCACTTTTCTAGTAATGTGTTTTGCTTTAGATTTTGGTATATAAAATAGTCACATTTACTCGAATCATATATTTTAACTTTTTTCTAATTTTTTATGTTTTCTGAATCTCATTCATTCTTCTTGTTTCTTTTGCTCTATCCTGACTTGTTTTATTAATCAAGTTTTGTGTTAGTTTTTTTTAAATTTCAGTTTCTATCCTGGTCATATTTACTTTGAAATGTTTCTATTTAAAATGTCATTTATTAATATAAATAATAGTGAATAATACAAAATAAAAAGGAGAAATTTCCCTTTACCTCCTCTAAATTCCATTCTTCCCCAGAGGTATAATTTGATGTTTTATACCAATATTTTGGAGCTTATGTTTTCATCAAC